GATAACATGTCGTAATTTAATTTCTTCTGTTTTGGTCGCCAAGGGCATGTTCTGTGGAGTTCGAATAAAAAGTTTGACCATTTCTGTTTTCAAAGGTTAATTCGTCGCGTATATAACAAATGAGGCGTGAACTGAAAAGATGAGCAGGGTCTGTGGCCCGTAACAAGCTCGCAAAGATGGGTTATGCTATATCGCGTAAATGAAACTGAAAAACTATGATCGGCTGCCCGGTGGCTGAGTGGGTAGCGTGCTTGTGTTCTGCCTGTGAGGTCTCGGGTTTGATCCCCAGTTAGGTCGATGGCTTTGCCCTAATGACGAGACCCAACCAGGTCAGAACAGCTGTCCAGTGCCTCCTAGCTTTTCAGTTCATTGCTTCATTTGCTATCTACACGACGAATTTCCCCGTTGAAATGAAATAAAATCCTCCATTATTCACTTGAAATTTCTGTTTTATTATCAATAACTGGTAATCATTTCCTAACAGTGCAACAGGATAAAACCACACTGGAAGCAATTTGATTTTTTTTCACTTATACAACTAACTAATGTGTATGAATGAAATGGTAAATCCTATAACCTGAGCCATAATTTCATCATTGTTGTTGCGCAATTTTCGCTTGCTGAATTTTCCTGTACGACAGCATTGTGTTTATTTCACATATGGGGCTTCCGCTAACGAAAGTCTGTAATATTCGCAGCCATAGGAAGACATGTCCCCCGAGACACGCACGAACCAGTGACTGTTTTGATTTCTTTTGTCATATTACGAATGCGTGCCAAATCCGGTATGATCATCATGCGAATCAACGGCTATAGGCTACACCTTTCTGAGAGAAATTCAATTAGCCATCGATAAAATGCGCAAAAGATTTTCCCATTTAAATGTCTCGTTCTTGAGATTAATGGCACTGGTAACAGTAGACGTATTGTTGTTGTTAGTAGTAGTAGTAGTAGTAGCAATATTAACAGTAAGATAGCTGGAAATCCGCTGAAAATCCTACCTTTAGTTCGATCGTGGAAACCAACAAGTTTTAACTGAATAGACATTGAGTGAATCAAACGATAGCGATCCGGTCTACCAATTACTTTGAATGACACACGTGGCGAAATATGGGACTGGTAATGAAAGAAATAAAATTCTATAGTTAAAGGTAGCAGATGGGAGCATTTTCATCGTTCGCTTCCACCGGTTAAATTCACAGA